TTCGCTCAAGGTCAATCCCATGGCTGGAGCTGGCGCCATCTTGGCGGGAAGAGGAAGAAGAGACATGTCTTCGCGCGTCAAGGACGTTGTGCTCGCTCTGGCACTGTGCCACAATGTCACGCCGGTGGTCAACGACGACGGCACGGTCACGTACCAAGCTTCGAGCCCCGACGAAGTGGCCATCGTCAAGTGGACCGAGTCGGTCGGCTTGAGTTTGATAGCTCGAGATAGACGAAGCATGAGTCTTCGAGCGGGCGACGTGCTGCTCGCTTTCGACATACTCGAAGTTTTCCCTTTTACTAGCGAGAGCAAGCGGATGGGAATCGTCATAAGGGACAGGACGACGGAAGAGCTTACTTTTTACCAAAAGGGCGCGGATGTCGTCATGGCTAAGATTGTGGCGCAAAACGATTGGCTAGACGAAGAGTGCGGGAATATGGCTAGAGAAGGCCTTAGAACTTTGGTCGTTGGAAGAAAGAGAATGACGGAGCAGCATTGGATCGCCTTTGAGCGCGCCTACAAGGAAGCTAGAACGCGTGTGGATGATCGAAACGAAGCAATGGCTAGAGCAGTGTCGGAGTACTTGGAGCGCGACTTGGAACTGCTCGGTTTGACGGGGGTGGAGGATAAGCTTCAAGAGGATGTCAAACCTACGTTGGAACTACTCAGAAATGCAGGCATCAAAGTGTGGATGTTGACAGGCGACAAGATCGAGACTGCTACGTGCATCGCCATCTCCTCCAAGCTGGTAGCTAGGAATCAGTATGTCCATCAAGTGGCGAAGTTGAGGACCTCAGAAGCGGCTAGAGACGTATTCGATGTGCTAAGGACCAAACCAGATTGTTGTTTGGTCATCGATGGCGAATCTCTGCAACACTGCTTGGACAATCACAGGATCGAATTCATCACGCTAGCGACTCAATTGAGCGCCGTGGTAGCCTGCCGATGCTCGCCCACGCAAAAAGCCGACGTAGCTCGACTCATTCGGGAATTCACAAAGAAGCGGGTGTGTTGCATTGGGGATGGAGGCAATGACGTGTCGATGATCCAAGCTGCGGATGTGGGACTGGGCATTGTGGGCAAGGAAGGTAGACAGGCTAGTTTGGCGGCGGATTTTAGCATCCTTCAATTCAGCTACCTGGCCAAACTGCTCACCTTTCATGGAAGAAACGCGTATCAGCGTAGTGCCAAGTTGGCACAGGTTGTCATTCATCGAGGTCTCGTCATCTCGGTCGTGCAGGCCGTTTTCAGCTCCATCTTTTACTTTGCGCCCGTAGCTTTGATTCAGGGTTGGCTCTTGTGAGTTTTCCTTTAGGGTTTTGCGGCAGGCAGACCATGCTTTATCAGAGCCCGGCACGCGCTGATCTATGGAACGACGAGCAGGGTGGGCTACGCGACTCTGTACACCATGCTGCCCGTCTTTTCCCTAGTCTTGGACAAGGACATCGATGATGATCTCGCTCTGGCATATCCCGAGCTATACAAGGACCTCACGAAAGGTCGAAGATTGACAGCAAAGACTTTTGCGTCGTGGCTTCTCATCTCGGTCTATCAGGTGAGTGGGTTCATCATTGTGCTTTAGACGAGGAAATGTTTTCTGAATTCGGCCTGCGGATCGCTCTTCCTCGTAGGGCGGCGCGATCATGCTCCTCTCTTTGCTGTTGTTCGAGAATGAATTTTTAAACATCGTCTCGATCACCTTTAGCGCTTTGGTCATCAACGAACTGATCATGGTCGCTCTTGAGATTACCCGATGGTGCGTGTCGCACTCATTAAGCGCTTCCTGGCACCCATCCAGCGCACTCGCTGAATCTCGCTCTTCTTTGCCTCGTCTCAGGAACGTCTATATGCTCGTGGCAGAGCTGCTCAGTCTGACACTGTACTGCATCAGCATTGCTTTCCTCCCAGAATATTTCGGTCAGTCACCGCATACGCAAC